TTTGTCATGTTGGACCTGTGACATGTAGGGGTACTTTGTCATGTTGGACCTGTGACATGTAGGGGTACTTTGTCATGTTGGACCTGTGACATGTAAGGGCACTTTGACATGTCGAGCCTGTAAAATATAAGGGCACTTTGACATGTTGGGTCTTTAAAATGTAGGGACAAGGCACTTTGACATGTAAGAAAAGTAACAAATGATGTGACATACAGGGACAGTGATAGTGACATTCAGGATCAGTGGGAAAAAGGGAACAGGGGGACAAAGAGCAGTGACACATATGACACGCTTCCATACACGGTGTGTCACATAGGAATAGTAGGTTATAGGAACGGTGTGTATATGGGATGAAAAGTAGGGTTAGTCGAGATATAGGTGGGATTGGAGCTGATGCAAATAAGGGGTGACAGGGATGGCGACAGGGAGGGGTAGTTAGAGTAATAGAAACTGCCAACTTGACCAAACGAACGTCGAACTTTATAGCGGGACAGAGAAGGCGAAGGACCTGCGTTTAACTAGTTAGAGAGTGCTTGCATTTGTGCTCGGCAATCCAAAAAATTACAATTTTGAATTTCAAGGTTGCCTATCGAATTTCAAATACATTTAGCTCATCCTAATACCGAAAGAAGGCGAGAAAGTAGGAACAATAGCAAATTTGAAGAGGTAAGAAGATTTGCCTTGTTTTGATTCCTCACATGTTGCACACAGTAAGACCATTTCTGTGCCCACGAAAATCAGTCCTATTGTATTGACCTATTGTATTGGATTTCATTCAAGAATGTTCTTCCTGTTTGGCGTATTGTTTTTGCTTTTATGAGTGAGAGCATTCGTCACTTTATTTGCCACTCGTAACATCATACAAGAGAGAAATAAAGTTTGGTATGTATATACATAGTTGAGATGGCATCAGATAAGGTACTTTGCTTTTTGCTAAACCATGTGTAAATCGTTTTAAGGTTCTGCAACTTAGGTTGATCAAATGTGAGTAGTTTTCCTGTGCAATTACCTAGACTATCGTATATCAATTATTTTTCTGTGATTGTTATGCTTACTCTTATAAAACAGCGTTGCAATCATTTGGGTAACATAAATATGATGCGTATGACTTGATTATTCTAAAAGCTGGTTGCCTAAAGCAACTTATATAAGTATGAGGTTTATCAGGCTGGTTTTACGGTCTTTCATATCTGCCAATATTTGCCTGTGTTTTGGGTAGACATTTCGCTTCAAACACTCAAATTCAGCCATCACTATCTTGAAGTAATGTTAACGGATCTAAAACCATTTTTTGTTATTATGGGGTCTCAATAAAATGTAGGGTCTAAGCCAAAGCATGTTATTGCTTGCTGCTAGGTGGGCATGGAAAACCTGGTGACCTTTCTTCTGACAGCTTTGTGTTTCTTCTGCCAAACGAGTAACTGCCAAGGTAAGGTCCACATTGTATCGTTACATGCAAAGAATGCCGGACAAAGTTTTTGGTACTAGGTGTCAAGAATCTAAGACGATGAATTCGGCCGGGATTTTGAAACCAAAAACGGAAATCAAAATCCAAGGCATCCGAATTCCAAGAACTGAGTCTTAATTCGGCTTTTCAAAACGCAATACGTATTGTTAGAAATCAGTAAGAGAATGATGCAGATTTTCTTTGGCTTTAGATTACAGCTCCTGTGGATTACGATCAGTACGTCGTGGAAAAATATTTGGAGGACTTCAATCCCGTCCAGGGATGTGGCCCTGGCAAGTAGCAATTTTTCGCAAGAATAGCGATGGCAAGTAAAAATTGATTTGGTAACCACGTTGAATTTTCCTTTTCGGGTGTATCTTTGTAAGTGGCTGTGTTGATGGTATTTTCCCTTTTACTACAGGAAGCATTTAACAGATTTCTCTTTCAAATAAATGGTAGTGTTACAAACGTCTTCTCGGGTTTTTCAAATGTTCTTTCAGTACAAAAAAGCATAAGACATATTTCTTTTTCGATGACTAATGAGTAAAAAATGTTCAAAGATTTGTACTTTTCCAAATGTTCTTTTTTGGATTCTTGGCTTTTGCTTGTAACAAAACAAACGAAACCAATGGAAAGGGGCATGTTTTAGCAAAAGTTCAGAATTCTCTGTTTCTCATACAAGGGCGGATCTTGGGGTGGTGGATTATAGATGGTAGTAGATGAGACAAACGTTTCACCTAGAATGTTAATGGTGTAATTTGTTAAAACTTTGTCAACAGAGGATCAAAAGCCTCAGTTCTTTTGCGGAGGGGCTCTTATAAATTCAAGATGGGTCCTTTCTGCAGCACACTGCTTCCACAAACGCCAAAATGAAAAATACGTTCACTACAGGTATATATTAATCATACTTATTATATAGATATCAATGAAATACCAGGTTTTCTCTAGTGTCGAAAAATTCGCTACGCTCACTCGTGAGAGATCTTTTCAACACTCGAAGATAAAATTCGAATCTCCGAGCGCCCATGTAATATCCTCTATTTATATAGTTACCGTATACTTTATAGTTTTTGGAGATTTATAGGATTTACCATACATCTTGCGTTTACAAATAAGCAACTTTTTGTTCTGTCCAGCATGTCCATGCTGTGCAATAAACAAAAAAAAAAAACAAAACAAAAATCAGCAAACAAACAAAACAAAACAAAACAAAAACAAAAAAAACAAACAAAAAACACCTTTATGATTTGGATCCAACTCAAACATAGAATTCTGTTCTCCCATGGTCTGAAATGAAAAAACACTATGCTCAAAAGTTCTGAATGGTTGTTTTTGTTGGAATTGAAAGTGTCTCCGTGTATAAATCTCTTTGGTCAAAGTGTGGCTTCTTTTCTTTTTTCCTTTCTTCAGATACACGATCAAAGCAGGAGACCATAAGATCTATTCCAAAGATCCTTACGAGCAAGAACGTGATGCCAGAATACACAACCATCCAAATTTTATACCAAGCACATTTGAAAATGACGTCGCATTAGTGGAGCTGGACAAAGGTGTCAAAATGGGCCCTAATGTTCGTAGCATATGCCTTCCAAAAGCTAACGAAAACCTTTCATCGCCGGGCGAGATAGTAAGCGTTGCTGGTTGGGGTTATACGACCAAAGGCTCCCATTCTTCCGTCCTTCTTCATTCTGCATTTGAGATTCAAAACAATAAGAATTGTAAAGATACAACAACATATGAATTCAATAAGACGGTGATGTTCTGTGCCGGTCATGGTAAGGGAGGTAACGATACTTGTAAAGGTGACAGTGGTGGTAGTACGGTAAGAGAGGTGCTACGAGATGGCAGACGTCGATGGGTGACAGTTGGTCTGGTCAGCTGGGGTGAAGGATGTGGGATCAAAGGCAAATATGGCTACTACACCAGAGTAGAACCATTTGTGGATTGGATTCAAAAGAAAATTAATGGTTCGAGTAAGTTTTTCTTTTTTCTTTTTCATGCATATAGATGACCGGTGATGCTATTGAGTTTCTCCATATCTCCATATCTGATACAATTTATTTTTCCCTAGTTTTATCTTGTGGCGATCCTGGTAACATACCGAACGGTCGAATCAATGGCACAGATTTCTTGGTCGGATTCACTGTAAAATATAAATGCAACGAAGGATATCGATTGAGAGGAAGATCGAAAAGTAGATGCAAAAGAAATGGAAAGTGGACCAAAGCACCGACGTGCCAAAAAGGTGATCATCTTTAATATGCTAATAACAAGAACTAGTCACCTTCTGCAGTCACTAATGTCATGATTCTTACCTCAATACCATTCAATTTAAACCTGTTTATCTATAGTTACAATCTTATTTTACAGTTGAGTGTAATGATCCTGGTAGTCTTCGTCATGGAGTACGAAGACCAAGAAAAAAGAAATACTATTACAAGGATAAGATCAGGTTTCGATGTAAAACAAATTACACAATCATAGGTAGATCTGCCATGGCGTGCCGGTCTAATGGGATGTGGAGTGGATTCAAACCGGCCTGTTTAGGTAAAATTGTCCCTGAATTGACAAAAGTTTCGATGCAGTATAAGAGCCCAACTTAACTCTCGATTTTAACCTTGACAGCTCCTTGTAAAGATCCTGGTATTCCAAAAGGTGGTGTTAGATTAGACCACAGTTTTAAGCACGCTCAGACTGTACGATTTCTGTGCAAGAAAAGGAATCAACCACCGTCTGTTTCATATCTCACTTGTAACAATGGAAGATGGAATCAAAATATTCCTAGATGTATTGGTAAGCTAAAAAAAATCACCATATAAAATATATAATGTTCAGTCATATATAACTAGGACGAAACTGTTTTACTGCTGATAGCGTTAATATCCACATTCATTACTCAAAAACTTTTTTCCATTCTCGGCCACAAAGAGAATTTAGGTGACCTTTCGTTCTTGTCCATTTTGATCTACTAAAAATAAATCTAAGCGACTTTTGGTCGTTTTTCTTAGCTGATTGCGATGATCCCGGCACTCCTATTAATGGACAAAGACAAGGCACTGACTTCATCTTGAAGAAAAGAGTGTATTTCACTTGTGATCAAGGTTACATGCGTGTAGGACCAAAGTATATACAGTGCCAGAGCAATCGACGATGGAGCGACAAAGCACCAATTTGTGAACGTATGTAGAACAGTGATCCATAATTTGTGTTTGTGTGTGTGTGTGGCAATATTATAGGGATCTTAGAATATAATATGGATTCCTGGTAGCACGTTTTCTTAAGTCTGATCCTGGATTTCCTGGAACTCGGATATCTCCAAAACTATTTCAAGTCAAATTGCAATACTCTATGTACTGAAGGTATGCTTCAGAACTTGCATATTTCTGTATGGAAATCTGTTATCAAGCAGTTGAAGGAGCTCTTGAAGAAGTGTGTAAAGGGGTGCTTCATTTTCGATTTCTCCTATCTTAACTGATAACGTCTCTATACGTGACTAATATTTTGATCTCCTCCATAATAAAATGGCTTTCTTTTTGACTGATATTTATATTGAATATTTCCATAGCTTTATCCTGCTTTAGACCAATACCACCCCAGAATGCTTACATCTATAGCAGAAGACAACAGAAAGAAAAATATGGATTCAACGAAGTGGTCATGTTTTATTGTAATAAAGGACACTTTGCTTCTGGATCGCCTTTCGTGAGGTGTCTCGCTAATGGATGGAGTAAAACTACTCTGCGATGCCCTCGTAAGTCTATGTATTCATTTTTCAACATTTCATTCTTTAATTTTGTATGCATGATAATTTATTCTTCAGACAGAAAAAGGTCAAAATAAAAATATGAGTTGAGCTTTCTTTTGTACTTCACGTCCTTCCTTTCCTATTTTTTCGATTTTTGTCGCAAAGGTGCATTTTTCACTTTCTGTGTATATGTTCTGTGGCCGAAAATATATGGCTTTCTCTCTACCTTGACAACACTTCTGGATTCAATATTTTTGGGGAAAGAAACGAAAAGATACCAAACAAAACAGTGGTAAATGCACTCAATCTTTCTGCCTCGTGCAAGAAGACTGAATGTTCCGGTTAGAAATCAGTCAACGAATTTCACCAAATCGAAATGCATTGTTTGTTTTAGCCAAAAATTGTGGTGATCCTGGTACTCCCACTAACGGAAGAAGACAAGGCAATGTATTCACTTTCAACAATAAAGTAAACTTCACATGTTTAGATGGCTACGAGCTGGAAGGACCTGTAGAGCGTGTATGTCAGGAGAATGGAACATGGAGTGGAACCACGACTACTACATGTGAACGTACGTATTTTTGATAGCTCTTAACTCTCAACTCTTGATAACTCTTTATTGGATTCTTTTTTCCATTGTGGCCCATCAATATAAAGAGTTTACAAAATACTATTATATAAAACTACCTATGCGTATGAATTTAACTAAACTAACTAGACTGCTCTTACTATATTAATGAATAATAGTAAGTTATTACATTGGCACTATACATGACACATAACACAAGACAGTATTTCTTGCGACGAGTTGATTTGAAAATTTTTGTATTCTTTATTAATTAGATTCATTCGGCATGCATGTGCCTTCAAATTTGAACAAATTTGAATTTTAAGGTGTTGAATGCAAAGATCCTGGAACACCTCGTAACGGTATCAGAAGGCCAGAAAATAATAAATACGTGTATGAAGACAGGATAGATTTCATGTGCAACACGAGCCATTATTTGAGAGGAAATACGTCCATCATCTGCCAAAGCGATAGAACATGGACAGGAACCGTACCAGTATGCTTAGGTAAGGGAATTAGAAGCGAGCTCTGTCTAAAAAAAAATAATTTTTTCACTTGTTGAAAACATCTTAAAAAAATGAATTCTGAATGGAGAAGCCGATTGGCGTATTAAGATTTCTCAGTTTCACGTCGAAAGGCGTTTTACTTTTTTTATTAAACGATTAAGATTTAATGCGTTGCATTACTTGCCTGCCTGCCTGCCTGCCTGCCTGCCTGCCTGCCTGCCTGC